AGATTGTAATATTAGTTTTGTCTTGAAAGATAAACAAATTACTATTATTAATTTGTTACTTGATAACAACAATGTTTTTGTCCACAGCCAACACAACCCGCTCATCCCTCCACGTGTGGAAATACATGGTTCCCGCTGACTGGCTGGAGTAAGTTGGTCCCGAGCACTCGTAATGGCTGATGCTATAGCCCAGCGGCAACTGTACGCGGGCTATAGTACTAGAGCTAGTACTAGTAGTAGTAGTAGTAATAATACTACTAGTACTACTACTAGTACTGCTCATAGGGTCTATGTCCTCCAGGTTACCGCCGGAACGTACCCTGGGTACCCTGGTCACTATTTGATATGGTTAGGGTTAGGGAGTAGGCGTAGGCGACTCCCCAGACTCGTTAGTGGAGTAGGCGAGGTACGGTCCGGCATATTAGATAGTACTAGGGTACGTTCCGGTATACCGGACCGTACCTAGGGTACGTTCCGGCAGTACCCCGAGGGACATAGACCCTCTCAGCTCTAGTACTAGTTAGTAGTAGTAGTAACACTATAGCGTATAGTACTAGTAGGATTATTGCATAGGCCCTACGTATAGGCTATAGCATTCACCTGTCAATGGTATCGCTCTGCACTTGCAGTGTAAAATGGTGGAGCCTACATTTCCAGAGCTACCCTGAGGCTGTGTAATAATGTGTTGTATCTCTACACAATTTTAATTAATGTTCAGGGTGGCTGCGGGTCCAGATTATCTGTACATGTATATTACCATTTACACTGCAGTAGGTTCAGTGTTCAAGACCCAAAGATTCAAAATACAATGTGTTTATCTTGTTTCCAAACATTGAATCTTCTAGACAGCATAATTAACTTATTGAATTAACTTGTTGTTTGAATACTATCTTTATATTTGCAAATTGCAGGAAGGCCCAGTAAAGAAAAATGTTATAGATGTCATTGACTTATGCGAAAGCGTGGACGAAGGTATGTTTACCTGTGTAAGATTAGAATTGCCATTTAAGTTATGGTTAGATAGCTACTGGTGACGTTTTGTTAAATGCGAATTTAAAAAAATCATGCTGGTTGATTTGTAAACAAGCATAATTGTGTACGGAATGCGTATATGTTACGTGCTGTTATACAAAACTAATTTTAATAAGTTCATATGTTCTAAGATAACAATATTGGTTGTGCCAGCGTCTAACGAAATGATCAGCTAGTGAATTATATTTTTAACATTTTTGCATTTTTTAGTACTCGGGTACAGATCCATTGTCCATAATGCAAAGAGTTGTTGGGTATCATTTCACAATCCATGACGTAGTGTATCTATCTCGTGTTTCTACAGGCAGTGGTGCGACTGACAGTGGGATCGGCATGGGTGTGTCCGGGAGCTCCATGGTGGACAGCGATACTAGCATGTCAACACCGTCTGCTCGCGTCTCAGTGCTGCCCTCTACCCTGCCAACCCCTCACCCTCAGCTGTCAATGCCTGCCCCTTCACTCCCAACGCTACCAACGCTACCAACGCTACCAACGCTACCAACCAACCAATCAACACCGGCCACAGACTTTCATTCAATCGCTGCTAGAGGGCCGGTGTTGCGGAATCCATATGAATGCAGTTGGTTGCCACCTCCTCCTAGGTTTACCAGCAATGACTTCGGTACACATAAGTCCCAGCAGGATAGACAGTGAGTACAGGGATAAATGCTATCCCATAATCACCTCTGTTATGTATTTACGGTATGAATGTTTGTCTGCGATTAAACAATTTATTTTGGTCTTCCATCATTATTATCCTATATGCTAATTTTGCTCATATTTTTCCTAGCTTTATTTTCATAGTCCTATCTATGGAGTTGACAAGATTTCGCAAACTACAAACAAATGTATATGGAGAAAAATGCCATTATTTAAAGATACTGTCGGATTGTGCGAAATTAAAAGCCGTATATAAATATATTACCAGGAAGAAAAAGCTGGTTAGTGCTTGATACCGTACTATATGCACACTGTATACTAATAAATGCAAAACACGTTTGAATGACCATGCTTGCATTCTTCATCAACTGGTGATTTGGTTAAGTTACTCAGTGCATTGATCCTCATTCGTAGTTATCTAATTATAATTATAATTCCTGAATGAGGATGTCAATATGATATATGATTTCTGATCTCTGCCTATTTTTCTACATTATAGCCAGCAAATGTACAAAGGAGCATCAAGGATGTGTCTAAGGTATGAAACTCACTTTTGTACTTACTTTTAAAAGTCAACTTGTACAGCTTTGATGCACAGGTAAACATCTTTTTCACCCCAATATTCATGAAATACGGCAGGTAGGGGCGAGCAACAGGACACAATTTTGACAGATGTTGTTTGTTTATTTTAGGAGTGGCCAGCAGAACTGGTCAAGCTATCGCGACACACTACCTCAAGACCTGCTTGGAAAAAAGGTAACAACAAGTCCCACCTGCGTCCATCCAGTTACAATTAGCTCATCTAAAGCTGGGTCCGTGAATCGTTTCAAATCTACATCATGCATCATTTCTAATTGCTTGCGAAAAGACAAAAACTAATTTCGTGCGGATGTTTTGAAGGCAAGGATCTGTCATCATGATCGATCATTTTGCGCAAAATGATGATCGAGCGTGAAACTTTGACCGATTCCCAACACTAGTTGATGACGTCTGACATGCCTCTCCCTGTTTCTCCTGCTGTTACAAGCGTGGGAGATAACTTGTATCTCAGTCGCGTGAGATATAACTTGTATCTCCATTATTACCAGCGTGAGATATAACTTGTATCTCAGTTGTTACAAGCGTGGAATATAACTTGTATCTCAGTCATTACAAGCGTGGAATATAACTTGTATCTCAGTCGTTACAAGCGTGGGATATAACTTGTATCTCAGTCGCTACAAGCGTGGGAGATAACTTGGATCTCAGTCGTTACAAGCGTGGGATATAACTTGTATCTCAGTCGTTACAAGCGTGGGAGATAACTTGGATCTCAGTCGTTACAAGCGTGGATTGACAGTTTATATCCCGCTGTAATGACTGAGATACAAGTTATATCCCACGCTTGTAATGACTGAGATACAAGTTATATCCGCACAGCTTGTAATCGAATGCGAGATACAAGTTATATCCCACGCTTGTAACGACTGAGATACAAGTTATCTCCCACGCTTGTAACGACTGAGATACAAGTTATATCCCACGCTTGTAATGACTGAGATACAAGTTATATCCCACGCTTGTAATGACTTGAGATACAAGTTATATCCCACGCTTGTAACGACTGAGTATACAAGTTATATCCCACGCTTGTAACGACTGAGATACAAGTTATATTCCACGCTTGAAACGACTAACATACAAGTTTTATCTCCACGCTTGTAACGACTGAGATACAAGTTATATTCCACGCTTGAAACGACTAACATACAAGTTATATTCCACGCTTGTAATGACTGAGATCCAGAGTTATATTACCACGCTTGTAACGACTGAGATACAAGTTATCTTCCCACGCTTGTAACGACTGAGATACAAGTTATATCCCATGCTTGTAACGACTTGAGATACAAGTTATATCCCACGCTTGTAATGACTGAGATACAAGTTATATTCCACGCTTGAAACGACTAACATACAAGTTATATCCCACGCTGTGTAACCGACTGAGATACAAGTTATATTCCACGCTTGAAACGACTAACATACATAAGTTAGTAGGTTCCACGCTTGTAATGACTGAGATACAAGTTATATTCCCACGCTTGTAACGACTTGAGATACATTATCGTCCACGCTTGTAACGACTGAGATACAAGTTATATCCCATGCTTGTACGACTGAGATACAAGTTATATCCCACGCTTGTAATGACTGAGATACAAGTTATATCCCACGCTTGTAACGACTGAGATCCAAGTTATCTCGCATGCTTGTTAACGACTAACATAACAGTTATATTCCACGCTTGTAACGACTGAGATACAAGTTATATTCCACGCTTGTAACAACTGAGATACAAGTTATATCTCATGCTTGTAATGACTGAGATCCAAGTTATCTCCCATGCTTGTAATGACTGAGATACAGGTTATATTCCACGCTTGTAGCGACTGAGATACAAGTTATCTCCCACGCTTCGTAATGACTGAGATCCAAGTTATATTCCACGCTTGAAACGACTGAGATACACGTTATATTCCACGCTTGAAACGACTGAGATACAAGTTTATATCCCACGCTTGTGAAATGACTGAGATTCAAGTTATCTCCCATGCTTGTAATGACTGAGATACAAGTTTATCTCCCATGCTTGTAATGACTGAGATCCACGTTATATTCCACGCTTGTAATGACTGAGATACAAGTTATATCTCATGCTTGTTAATCACTGAGTTAACAAGTTATATCTCACGCTGGTAATAATGGAGATACAAGTTATATCTCACGCGGACTGAGATACAAGTTATCTCCCAGCGCTTGTAACAGCAGGAGAAACAGGGAGAGGCATGTCAGGACGTCATCAACTAGTGTGGGAATCGTCAAAGTTTTCAGCGCTCGATCATCATTTGCGCAAAATGATCGATCATGATGACAGATCCTTGCCTCAAAACATCCGCACGAAATTAGTTTTTGTCTTTTCGCGAGCAATTAGAAATGTATGCCATGATGTAGATTTGAAACGATTCACGGACCCAGCTTTAGATGAGCTAATTGTAACTGGAGCGTGGACGCAGGTGGTGACTTGGTTGTTACCTTTTTTTCCAAGCAGAGTCTTTGAGGTAGTGTGTCGCCGATAGGTTACCAGTTCTGCTGGCCACTCCTAAAATAAACAAAACAACATCTTGTCAAAATTTGTGTCCTGTTGCACGCCCCTACCTGCCGTATTTCATGAATATTCGGGGTGAAAAAGATGTTTACCTGTGCATCAAAGCTGTACAAGTTGACTTCTAAAAGTAAGTACAAATTGAGTTTCATAACCTTAGACACATCCTTGATGCTCCTTTGTACATTTGCTGGCTATAATGTAAGAAAAATAGCGCAGAGGTCAGAAATCATATTATATATTGACATCCTCATTCAGGAATTATAATTATATTAGATAACTACGAATGAGGATCAATGCACTGAGTAACTAACCAAATCACCGTTATGAAGAATGCAATCATGGTCATTCAAACGTGTTTTGCATTTATTAGTATACAGTGTGCATATAGTACGGTATCAAGCACTAACCAGCTTTTTCTTCTGGTAATATATTTATATACGGCTTTTAATTTCGCACAATCGCGACAGTATCTTTTAAATAATGGCATTTTTTCTCCATATACATTTGTTTGTAGTTGCTGAAATCTTGTCAACTCTCATAGATAGGACTTATGAAAATAAAGCCTAGGAAAAATATGAGCAAAATTAGCATATAGGATAATAATGATGGAAGACCAAAATAAATTGTTTAATTGCAGACAAACATTCATACCGTAAATACATAACAGAGGTGATTATGGGATAGCATTTATCCGTACTCACTGTCTATCCTGCTGGGACTTATGTGTACCGAAGTCATTGCTGGTAACCTAGGAGGAGGTGGCAACCAACTGCATTCATATGGATTCCGCACAACCGCGGCCCTCTAGCAGCGATTGAATGAAAGTCTGTGGCCGGTGTTGATTGGTTGGTTGGCTAGCGTTGGTAGCGTTGGTAGCGTTGGTAAGCGTTGGGAGTGAAGGGGCAGGCATTGACAGCTGAGGGTGAGGGGTTGGCAGGGTAGAGGGCAGCACTGAGACGCGAGCAGACGGTGTTGACATGCTAGTATCGCTGTCCCCACCATGGAGCTCGCCCGGACACACCATGCCGATCCCACTGTCAGTCGCCACCACTGCCTTGTAGAAACACGAGGATAGATACACTACGTCATGGAGTTGTGAAATGATACCCAACAACTCTTTGCATTATGGACAATGGATCTGTACCTGGTACTAAAAAAATGCAAAAATGTTAAAAATATAATTCACTAGCTGATCATTCTTCGTTAGACGCGTGGCACAACCAATATTGTTATCTTAGAACATATGAACTTAATTAAAATTTAGTTTTGTATAACAGCACGTAACATATACGCATTCCGTACACAATTATGCTTGTTTACAAATCAACCAGCATGATTTTTTAAAATTCACATTTAACAAAACGTCACCAGTAGCTATCTACCACCATAACTTAATGGCAATTTCTAATCTTACACAGGTAAACATTCCTGTCGTCACGCTTTCGCATAACGTCAATGACATCTATAACATTTTTCTTTACTGGCCTTCCTGCCAATTTGCAAATATACAAGATAGTATTCAAACAACAAGTTAATTCAATAAGTTAATTATGCTGTCTAGAAGATTCAATGTTTGGAAACAAGATAAACACATTCGTATTTTGAATTCTTTGGGTCTTGAACACTGAACCTTTCTGCAGTGTAAATGGTAATTATATGCATGTACAGATAATCTGGACCCAGCAGGCCACACCTGAACATTAATTAAAATTTCAAAATTGTGTAGAGATACAAACACATTATTACACAGCCTCAGGGTAGCTCTGGAAATGTAGGCCTCCACCATTTTGCACTGCAAGTGCAGCGAGCGATTACCATTGACCAGGTGAATCGGCTTACGCCTATACGTAGGGCCTATGCAATAATCCTACTAGTAACTATACGCTATAGTGTTACTACTACTACTAACTAGTACTAGAGCTGCGAGGGTCTATGTCCGGCTCGGGTACTGCCGGAACGTACCCTACGGTACGGTCCGGTATACCGGAACGTACCCTAGTACTATCTAATATGCCGGACCGTACCTCGCCTACTCCACTAACGCGAGTCTGGGGAGTCGCCTACGCCTACTCCCTAACCCTAACCATATCAAATAGTGACCAGGGTACCAGGGTACGTTCGCGGCGGTAACCTGGAGGACATAGACCCTATGAGCAGTACATGTAGTGAGTACTAGTAGTATTATTACTACTACTACTACTAGTCTAGCTTCTACGTACTTAGCTCGCGTACAGTTGCCGCTGGGCATAGCATCAGCCATTACGAGTGCTCGGGACTCAACTTACTCCAGCCAGTCAGCGGGGAACCATGTATTTCCACACGTGGAGGGATGAGCGGGTTGTGTTGGCTGTGACAAAAACATTGTTGTTATCAAGTAAACAAAATTATAATAGTAATTTGTTTATCTTTCAAGACAAAACTAATATTAACAATCTTTTTTGATCGCTTAATTTGTTACTTGACAACAACGTTTTCTGTCCACAAACAACCCAACCGCCCACCCCTCCACGTTCAGAAATACATAGTTCCCGCTGACTGGCGCTGCCTGCAGCGCAGCCAGAAATGGCCGTTTGAAGTTCGCAAATCGAATGTTCGTTTACACAGAAATACCGCAAGTAGGCCATTTCAACGATAGTTTAGCAGTTAAATTTTAGTAGCTGATATAACTTAAGGCATATTCACTTCGGATAAAAGGCATTTATTGCCGTACCACAGACATTTTATAGTCGGGTATAAGGCGGGTCTAAGTTGGTCCCGCCGCATCCTAATGGTTTGTTCTATAGCCAGTGGCAACTGCTACGCGGGCTATAGTACTAGAGCTATACTACTGCTGAGAGGGTCTATGTCCCCAGGGTACTGCCGGAACATATCCTGGGTACGGTCCGGTATACCGAAAGTATCCTGGTACTATCTAATATGCGGACCGTACCTCGCCTACTCCACTAACGAGTCTAGGAAGTCACCTACGCCTACTGCCCTAGCCCTAATCTAACTTAAACCGTAACCCTAACCATATCAAATAGTTACCAGGGTTACGCTCGGTATACCGGACCGTACCGCAGGTAGCGTTCGCGGCATATAGATAGTAGCGGCAGGATACTTTCGCGGTAATACGACGGGCGTACCGGCAGGATATGTTCCGGCAGTACCCTGGGGGACCATAGACCTGCTCGACAGTAGTATAGCTCTAGTAGCGTATAGCCGCGTCGCAGTTGCCACTGTCTATAGAAAAACTCCATGTAGGATGCGGGGACCACTTAGACGCCGCTATACCGCGACTGATAAATGTTGTGGTAGGCAATAAATGGCCTTTTTATCGCGAAGTGAATATGCCTAAGTTTATATCAGCTACTAAAATTTAACCTTAACTATCGTTGAATGGTGCTACTTGCGTTATTCTGAGTAAACGAAACATCTCGAATTTGCGGAAAATTCTTATCCAAACGGCCATTTCTTTGGCGTAGACGGTGCTAGGACATAGCCTAAAGCTTGCCTCTAAGATTTTCTTAAGTGAGGGAATAAATTATTCGTTTGGAATATTCCTTTACCATATAGCCTATTAATTTCGTGGGAAAATAAAATTGTGTGCTGCAAAGATAGAGTAGGGGTGGCGGTTTGGGCGGTATGTGCTTGTTAGAGGAAAAGGACGGGAGGCGATATTTGTTGTGCCAAGTAAAACAATTTAACGAGACAGTCAGGGACTACCACCAAAAGATTGTAATATTACGATAATTTGTCTTGAACTAGATAAACAAATACTATTATTAATTTGTTAGCGTTGATAACAAGAATTGTTTTTTGTCCGGACAGCCGAGAACAAAGCCCGCTCATGCCCTCCAAGCGTGTGGAAATACTGGTTCCCGCTTACTGAGATCTCTGCCATGATGAGTTTTATCAAGCTTGGCTCGCCACAGCTCGTAAATGCTGCATCTATACGCCCGAGGCGGACTCAACTGTACCGAGGCGTATTAGTACAGTACCTTAGAGCTTAGTACTGAGGTATGAGTAGTTAGTAATTAATATATGTCTTTAATGACTACTGAACTACTCGCAGTAATCTAATTATGCTCATAGGGAATTCGTGATGTCCTCCCAGCAGGTTAGCCGGCCGAGCGTACGCCTGGGTACCCTGTCACTATTTGATCTGGGTTGAGTAGGTAGGGAGTAGGGCGTAGGCGAGCTCCCCAGCTCGTTAGTGTGAGTAGGCGAGGTACGGTCCGGCATATTTTAGATAGTACTAGGGTACGTTCGCGGTATACCGGACGCGTACCTAGGGTACGTTCCGGCAGGTACCGCCCGCAGTTAGGAGATTATCGGTTATTGAGTTGCGTATGACTCTTAGTCTCTAGAGATTTACTCGTGTGCCGAGAGGTTGTGTGGAAGTGAGTTATAAACACTCATTAGCTTTTTCAATAGTATTTTTTAAGATCTTGATTGTAATTATTTTCTTTTTCTGGTTTTGTCATTTTTCTTTTTTTTTTGGTTAAATATTTAGACAAGGGGTTGTCTAGCAGGAGGTCCTTACTCGGCGATTCGTTTTTTTTTTTTTTTCTTTTGCATAGGCCCCTACCGTGGTCGCATATTGGGCTAATGCATGTCGAGGGCAACTGTCTAACGTGCGTATTTTAGCGGCTTGTGGGTGGCAACACGTCTGCAGCTCCGAAAAAATGGTGGAACGGGGGCCTTAATTTCCAGGTCCGCTGAGGGCTGTGTAATAATTGTTGTATGGGGGTTCTCATAGCTCAAATTATTGAAATTATTAATGTGAAGTGTTGGCAGGGTGGCTGCGGGTCCGATTATCTCGTGACATAGTAATCAGGATTTGTTAGCGCATATATAGCACACTGAAGCACGGATTCAGTGTTCGCAGAGCGCGCCACATATAGACTTCCAAAATACAATGATGTTTTATCTTGCTTTCCCCAACATGTGAATCTTCGGGTAGACCAGGGCATAGAGTTAAGGCCCGGTTATTTGTTCGGCTATAGGGGCTTTTGGTGTGATAGCTTGACCCTTCTATATCTGAGCTATAACGTTTTGTTAATTGTGCCGACTTGAAATTAGCCCGGAAGGCCGCACCGGTAGGAGAGAAATTTGGGTTATAGGTGGGTCATTGACTTTGTGGATAGTTTCAGAATAAGAGCGTAAGGACTTTGTAGCGTGTAGTGACTGTTTTATGTCGTTTTTTTCATCTTCTGCTCAGTTCACGATTAGGAACCTTGCGCGTTATCTTTAATTAGTTATGTGGTAGGATAGGCTATGGACACTGGGTGATTTAGAGGTTTTTTAGGGTGGGCTTACCACTGTTTTGGAATATGAGTTTTAACGGCGCAACAACGATTTTCGTGACGCTCTTCACTGCGTTTTTGTGTTTATTGCTCAAACATCAAGTTGAAATCTTTGTGTACGGGAAGTAGCGATCTCGTCTGAGGGTTACTGTAGAATAGTTATGTGCCGTGAATATTTAGGAAGATCTTTGGGCATACGTTGCATTATTATAGTTGTTCCAAATTGAAATTTATACTAATTGACTTAAAGGTTTGTGTGCAGCGTCTAACGAAATGAGTACGAGGGGCCTAGGGAATTATATTTTTATAAACGTTTTTATTTTGGCATTTTTTGTGGTAATATTAGCGGCGCGGCCCTTATGCTTAGACGTTTTTGTAGCTGACCTTAGATCATATGGGGCGGAAAAGGATTTTGTGGAGTTCCATTGGGCTATAAAATTCCTAGGCCTATTAATATG